CTTCGTACGACGATTCGGATGAAGGATTAATGCAGCAGCATAAAAAGGAGAGCTATCTGTTTTGCGGTAATACTCTTCAAACTTCCGAAAAGCGTGTTGAATTCGAACGCTTAGATCTTTTTATGTACGATAATGCTGAAGTGACTTTTCCATATGTTTACCAAGCACGTCCATTGTAAAGAGAAGCTGATCAAGTGTAACACGATCACCTTGAGTCTCTAGTGTCGCTCGATAGAATCGTTGTAAGAAAGAGTTTATCATACGAAGAGCTGTCCAGTCTTGTGGCGAAAGATGATCTTTTTCAAGCAATGCAAAATTGGCTTTTACATACTCATCAATAGCTGATTTTTTATTAAGTGCAGTACTTAATATCTGATACCAGCTATTCCATCGTGTTGAATTATCTAGTGGTATTCGTTATTGTGCAAAGGACACAAATTCTTTCGTACAATTTGCTGAAGATCGAGAGTGGACAATAATATTGTGAAGCTTTCCAAGAATGCCTATCGTACGAAAGACCTCTTCTCTTTCTACTTGAGATTGTTTATCTAACTCAGTCTCAAGTGTATTTTCTTTGTCGTACGACTCAATCTGTTCAAGCTGAGTCTGAGTAAAAAGAAAGGCTTGAACAATAAGATTGATTGTATGGCCCTGACAGCGAATTCGTTGATGTAAAGGATCCCAGGTAATATCTTGATCTGATAGATGCTGAGAGATCGTACGACAAAGGGTATCATTTATTGTTGAATTATCCGCCACAAGTACTCCTAGCTTTTGTAGAATACTATAGTCTTGAAGAACAGGAAGAAGAACATTCCACTGCTCTTCTCCACTATGGTTAGCTACCGTACGAAGAGCTAAAAGAGCTTTTATTCGTTTTTCTTGTGAATCAACGAAATGAGCACATATAGCTAATAATAGATGATTATTTGGAGAGGTCCAGATATCAACAGAAAGATGGATATCTGTCAAAGCTGATTGGACCTTTTTTCGTACGATATCCTTCTATTGTTGAAATGAATTTTGGATCAACTTACTTACAGCTGAGTGAGCTGTTGTAATATAGTTGACTGATTCAGAGTTCAGCGCTTGACAGAAGGTATGAAACTCTGGCGACTCAACAACTCGAAATGAGAGGTTTCATACGACAATAAGTTTAATAAGAGCTTGATCAAGTACTTGCTTATTCAAGACACTTCTTAAAACTAGTGAATTTAGCTCAGTTGGTTGATTCTGAAGCTCTGCTTGTTTCCAAAGTTCTTGAAGCTGGCTGGCTGCTGTTGCTTTCGTACGAGGAAGAGGCCTATCAGATTCAATCTGATGTTTTGAATAAAGATGATCGAATATTGGTCGTTGATGCTGCAGTATATATACAAAGAGAGCAGTAGTATAGCTTTCGATTTTGATTATCTCGTGCAGGCTCATCGCTGGATGGTGTACGACAGTATTGATGAATACTAGACGTGTTTTTACGACTGGTTTGAGTGCTTGATGCTTCAAATGACTCAAATGAATCAAGAGAGATTAAAGAATCTTCTTCAGTAGCCATAATAAGAAGAAAAGTAGCTGTCGTACGAGGTAGAATGAATTTTGATGAGGAAAAGTGGTCTGTGTGATACGGTTTATTATAAAAAATCCGATAATCGCGATATTATTCAGCATAAAATAATCGTAAAATACGATAATTTATTGTTTACGAAACGATAATTTTATTTTTGACCACCCTGGGACAAATCCCAAAGGGGGGACAAATCCCAGAATCGGGGGGACAAATCTCAGCAGCCTTCCTTCCTGCCTTTAAGCGAACATTTATTCAGGCATTAAGACGAGATAATGTACGAGCTGGATTTTAGCGTGCTGTATTACTGCCATTTAATCCAGATGCTGTATTATCTAAGCTAGATACTCATCTGAGAACGCCTACGCCGCCACCAATCCAGCAGCTAGAATGGCAAGTGTGAGATATCGAGCTGCTGCTATTGATGGGGGCTGATTAGGCTTATCCAAGTTGTCCTCACCATGATTTAGAGCAAATGCTGATTCAATTGTTCCTTGTAATGCATCCTGTAACTTAATCATGGCCTCTTGAATCAATTCCTCGTCTTGATTATATTCATTTGAATATAAGGCTTGAGATATCTAGTCTTCTGCGCTTGCTGGTTCTTTGATATCTTCATTCTCTATAAGATATGCATTCATATTGATGAATAAGATCTTATCAAGTCGATCAAAGCCCAGTCAGGCCCGGAATCTTGTGTCACCGGGAGCATCTCTGGACTCTGTTTTGGGATACCCTTCTTCGGACAAAGAAGTTTTGGTGAGCAGAGAGGCCCGGTACTGGAGCTCTACCCTTCAAGAGAGATTGGAAACAGAAGTTAAGGATTTTTTTCTTGTATATAGGCCCAAATTCATGCGTACGGAATCGAAGCTAGTTTTAATTATCTCTATGTGTTTGGCTGTCTAAAATCAGACCTAATTGGCTTTATATGAACTCTTAACGAGTCGTGTAGAACCCTAGATTCACCTGAAATATCCCGTGACGCAGTTCGACTGAATGCTAGCAAAGGTATAGTACACCGCAATGACCATCGTTCGAACGTAGACTGCACGTACTTAGCTAGAACACTAAGTAAATTCAAAACACATTCAGACTTGTTAAGTAGACTAGCTTTGACTGAAAATCATGTCAAACGCTTGATTAGTTCACTGGAATTAATTTACAGGGACTACGAAAAGACATTGATGAATTTAGGTTAGAGTTGCCAGATGGAACCGTTCCAAAGACATTGGCAAACAGCAAAAGTTACGAAGAAACAGAGGAAGTGTAATTAGCGACTACGAAGAATTCTCCTCTCTTGTCACATTGAAGCTGGCATGAAATTCTTGATCATAATAGGCCAAAAGATTCCCCTCATACTCCTGAGATGTCTCAAAGGCTGCGTCCAGAACCCGCTCCTCTGCCGCGTGTAAGATATCTGCTTGGGCAGTCACCTTCAATCTTTTGTTACCGTTTACAGTGAGATATCTGTCTTTTAACCCATACTTTAGATTGAGTGCCAAATGACTCCTGTTTCGAGGGGATGCCTTTACCTGAAAGCCGTGTGGCGGCACGAAACTGAAAATCCTAAACTCCTCCCTTTGATTTTGGGGAGAGTTTTCTATGTAATCCATGACGGTTCCTAGAGAAATATTCTGTATCTTGCAAGGCAGAGAATCTCCCTCTTGAATTTGACGAATTGTAGCCTGGTTTGTGTTTTGTTCGACGAAAAGTGTAGGGCTACCAATGTCTGAGCCTTGCAGCGCTTTTAGCTTTGGATCTAGCTTTTGATTGAGCTTTGTTTTGTTTTCTTCCCGCACAACGGGTATTACGCCCTGTTGCATTTGTTGCATATGCTCGTCGGCTAAGAAATAGTGGAGCTCCTTGGACTTAGCGCTATGGTGCTCATTGCCTGAGACTGATAGATGGTTGGTTGGGTTCGTACTCGTTTTTATGTCCAAATCGCGCTTTGGACCAAAGAATGCAAGCAAAATATCTCGCGTAAAGGCGAAGGGTGTCATGAATCTGTCTGGTTTTGTATCGTACACTCTCGTGTAAATCTTATCGAAGAATAGATGCGGTTTGACATCGTTATAGTGGATTTCTAGAGGCCGGCCACATTTATCTTTGATTTTATTGAAATACCTAAGCTCCACAGCCGTGGTAACAAGTGGTATGCTTGTAATTTGTTCCTTAATCCCTTCTGGGCGTAGAAGCTCATAACAAAGCTCTCGCTGGCCTCGTACCGAGTGCTCATCAACCACGTAATAGTCGGAAGGACAAATTAGGCGTCCACAATGGTCAATCATACTTATTGATGCCTCTTCCTGATCATCGTACTTCTTCCGCATATTTTCGTACCCGTTCTGTACGGCGAGCGAATGTAGATGCACCCACCACAGCTCATGTAGTCCATAATTCCCTCGGAGCTTTGATCTTTTGTAGTTCATACGCGGGGGTATGCCTCGCATCCCAGGAAAGTGCCGAAGAACCAGAAGCCATAAAACACGATACGAGATCCAAGAAGACTTTTGATCAGAAGGAGTGTGGTTATAGCTTTTAAATTCACTCGTCTGAATCGTACAGTCCTGCTTGCCGTTGTGAAGTTCTCGGAAAGATTTGGCGATGTTTTGGGTGTTGCCTATTGGAAGTATCTCTTCTAGGCTCTTACTTCCTAGTTCCAGATATTTAGTGTTTTCGATGAACATTGAAATTGACTGGATTATATTATTCAAAGAACATAAACGATCTCTTATCTTTGAACGACGGTCTTTATCCTTAATCGCAGGAAATAATCTGTTTGAGGCCATTCCGTAGTCCACGAACGCTCGATCTTCTAAAGATAATCCAGGACAACGCCCTTCCAACTCGGTCACAGTTTTTGGATCTAGTAATGACCAATCATGAGGATCAGGTCCCATGATCCAAGTCCATAGCAGTCTAATCCATTGTAGGCAACGAGTTAGTTCCTATAGCTGTTAACAATAGTAAATGCAGAAACCAATGGGGCAAACTACTTCAGGCATATGTAAGTTTGCGATCCTGGCAAATGTACCTATCATAATTGTATGCCATAGTCCTTTGAACGGTACAAGATCATCTAATATCTTCAAAAACTCCCACGGTAAGCCCTGAAGACGATTGATAAGATTTTCTGGGCTTTTAGAGCCGTCAATTTTTGATTTACTGTTGAGCAAGTCAAGTATTTCTCTTCTGCGAGCACTGTCTTGGCGATACAACCAGTACTGTCTGAATATCTCACCATTTGATGTTCTTTGGAGAGAAGAGTCCATCATTGCCACTGAATCTTCCTCGGTTCCCACTCAACCACTACAAGTAAGAATTCTCGACCAACTTAATTTAGTAACAAGCCGCTGATAAGGCGTTCTGCACTAAAAATATAACTTTGGATTCCTCTATATATACTTAACCTACATACACGTTTGGTCGCTTCAGTAAAGCCATGGCAAAAAGAAACACCAAGTTTCATGGGTCTTTTCCAGAGCGAAATGACGTTATCGGGATCAGGCAAGGCCACCGGGATACAAAGTTCCACGGAGCTTCACCGTTTTTAAATACGCTCCAATCGATACAGGAATACCCGATAGATGCACATAGTGGGGATCAGTTAACTCATCCAGTGCCTATTAACATAGCTCCTCAGTTATCAGCACACAGTGTGGGCAATACGACGACTCTAACAACTCTAACTAGCCTCTCTAGGGTAGAAGAGTCCTTACCAAAGATCTTGGCCACTCAAGAAACCAAACTCGGATATGAGCAAGCTGGATATAAAGATATCATTGATCTTGGACCGAAATACGGCCTTGTAGCTCGACAAACGCTCAAGAAAGCCAACGAAAGGGTGATAGGAATACTGAGGAATGAAAGAAGCGAATTCATTGTGAATATAATATGGAGCGAACTTGAACACGTCAAGCCATTGATATTTTATGAATTTATGCACGTAAGCTTGCGAGCCATGAGCATATACCATCGGCCCTTTAAAGATCGTGAGCTCGCAATAATATTGAACAGCATTGTGCAGGGCCTCATTTTTATACACGAGCGGCTTGGGATCAGCTGCTACAACATAGACTGTGGGAATATCCTACTCCAGTTGCTCTTTCGCGGAACCATAGTTGATGACATCAAAATCAAAATTGGTAGGTACTTCGGCTTTACTGTTGTTATTATTAGAAAGCTAAGATCTGCAGCGAACGTAGGAATGGACGAAAGGTCTCTTTCATACTATGAACGAAAAGATATACAGAGTCTAGGTCTGGTAATGACTGAGCTAATGGAGCCAGAGACTTACAATCTGAACCCTTTATGCGCCAAATTAGAGCATCGTAATGTTTGGAATTCATGTACTACAAATTTTTTTGATGCCACTCAAGCCGAGAGCTTGCGCACTTTGGAACAAGTGAGAGGAAGGAATGTCTATTCAAGATTATACACTAACTTTTGCAAAAAGCACCGATTTTTAGAGCACCTAGATAGTTCTACTGTTTTTAGCATATCTGCTCTATCCGGAATGGTAAAAGCAATGAAATCCTACGACCCGTAGTACTACGGCTTGTAGTACTACCTGTACTGCTACGGCTTGTAGTACTACCTGTACTGCTACGGCTTGTAGTACTACCTGTACTGCTACGGCTTGTAGT